AAATTGCGGTCTCCTGGCGCTCGCTTCTTCACCAGGTACATGGCACAGCGGACATCCAACTTTGTGATGTGCAAGAAGCCCTGCTCCGCTCCGATATCCAACCTCTTCACGAGCGACCTTGCGTCGGCCATGAGGTTGTCGGCCGCAGCCACGTCCGCCTTGCGGGACGCGACGTGGACGATCTCGTTTGCCTTGATCCGCCCATCGCTTCAGCGATTGCGTTTGGGAATAAAGCAATGTAACGGTGCGTGTGTGTGTGTGTGGGGAGGGGGGAGGGGTGGGTACGCAGTTCTAACAATGCAGCGCAATGCATAGATGCGCTGCAGCGCATGTCACTACAAGGGGGCGCCGACAAGCTTATGGATGGTCCTGCACATGCTATCCACCACGTGCTCGCCTGAATAGTTGGCCTTCACGAGCGCCGCTACGACATACGGGTACGACTCCTGGTGCTTCCCCCATTTAATCGAATTCAACTTGCGCCAGAATTCAGAGCCGCACATCAAAATTTGCCCCGAGACGTCCACATTCGTGAAGGTCTTGAGGGCTTCATCTATTTCACGGAGAAGTTCTCCGTTTTGTGGCCCGAGCTCAACAAACTTGCACAAGTCAGCGATCCACGCCTTGCAAGGTGGGTTCGCGTGGCCCGCTTGCTCGGCGATGTCGCGCCAATCGGGCTTGCTGGAACCCTCAGCGAGGCTGTGTGCCAAGAGCATCCGCCCACCTGCCTGCAGCAAGCGCCGAGCCGATCAAGTGCTGCAGCACGGTAAGATATAATGCTCCTGCTCCTCGTTCTCACCTCCTCCCCAACGCGCTCCCACTCATCACCCTCCTCGTGCATCATCCTGGTCCTTACTACATACCGCTATATACTATAGTGGGGATAGGCTGCAGCCTGACCGAATGATCTCGGTCTCGTGAACCGCCTCCCTGACGTCGGCGTTCAAAGCCCTCTGCACGAAGTTCTTGAGGCCCTTCACTTTGGCCACCGCGTGCTTGATGATCAACCACGTCAGGCCCTTTTTGACTGCCGTCGCAAGTTGCGGATGCAACGCGCACAGCTTTTCGGAGTCGATGTTGTCCCGAGAGTCTGCCAGCGCCTTCACTGTGGTCGGCGCCTTGGCCAGCACGCAGCGGAGGAAGACGTTCGTGTGGGAGCCGCCCACTGACGTATACCGCAATGAGTCCAGCGGGGGGCACCGACCCCCGCTGAGCCGCGAAAGGCGGTCGTTCGCCATCGCGGTCTCTTCCAACTGCGCCCCCTGCGGGGCCTCGAAGGCAGTGGCTGCAGCCGTCTTGGCCAAGACGAAGCCCTGGGCGCAAATCTTCGCGCCTAAATTGTGAGCCCGCGCAGGGTTCACTAACGAACCGCTGCGGTTCCGAATGTCGATGCCCATCTGGTACGGTGGGACCTGCTGGTAATACGCTAGCCCCTCCGCCAGCAGGAACTCCTTCAGTTGATCCCACCCCGATGCCAACCTCCCCGAGGAATTGCTTTCCTCGATGTACTGCAAGATCTGCTCCTCCTGACGCGCCTGCAGCGCCATGCCAGCGCTATATATAGCGCCGAATGCAACGTGCGAGCCCGCGGGCGCGACGGCGGATGCGGCGCGCGGCCGCAGCTTGAGACAAGCTGTCGCGCGGCGTGCGCGTGAACATCGACTTGCGTGGACATGCAACTTGCGAGCGCAAATGTTGATCTGGGCTGCAGCCCGAGGCCCATGAAGCACGAGCGCGCACGCGCTGCAGCGCGATGCGACATCACGACGACAACCATTTTTTTGCGCTGCAGCGCAAAGTAACATACGTGCTATCAAATTTGGAGCGCTGCAGCGCTCAATGCGACCATTGAAAAACAACGAATACAACAAAACATAATTGACATGTGCATTCAAATTCCTTGCAAACGGAGCTGGGCGAAAATGAAGATCCGAACAACGTGCAACTAGAAAACATGCATTTAACTCAACATTCAGCGCTGCAGCGCTTCATATTCAGCGCACGCAGCGCTTCATGTTCATATAAATCCGAAGGCAGCGCTGCAGCGCTTCTCATATTTAAAGCAAAAATCCAGGACACCGACTCCAAATCAAAATGCAAAATTTGTAGCGCTGCAGCGCTCAACGAACAAACTCAGCTCTTTCAAGACGTGGATTTACCTTTTTTCCCTGTGCATGGCCCTTGGATAACAAGTGCAATGTAACCGCTAAGTCACTTATAACCTACTTAGCAAACTAGCTATAAGCGGTTATAAGTGGTTAGCTAAGTGCGCTAAGCACTTAGCTAACTGGTTATAAGTGGATAGCTAAGTACTTACTAAGTCATTACTAAGTGGGCCACTTAGTAATGACTGAGTAAGTACTTAGCTAAGTCCGCTAACTACTTACTAAGTACTTAACTTAGCGTAGTAAGTATGTTAAGTACTTAGCAACCGCCGCGGCCATCCAAGTGGGACCTCCTATCTAGCGCGCGGAGCCCGCCAGGGGGCGGCGCGGGGTGCGCCGTCAAGGGTTGGCGGTGCCAATCCGAGAACTCCGCGCGGAGCTTCGAACATTTGTTAGCAAGCCAATCTTTCCCAACCGTCCTGTGGTGTTGGGTCCTCGTTTTGAAGAGACAGCGCCCCGCGTTCTCACTCCTCCTCCCGCTGCCCCCTCCCTCCCCCCCCCCTCCAGCGTTGGCACCCCCCTCGCGCGTTTCGCGGCCCCATGGGGAGTTCCACCGATGATCCCAGTGCTACCGCCCGCATGCGCCCCCCCCCCACGCAGTACAAAGTTTCGTGGCCCCATGGGGAGCTCCACCGAAGGTCCCAGTGCTACCGCCCGCATGCGCCCCCCCTGCCCAATGCAGCGTTTCGCGGCCCCATAGCCCATAGGGAGCTCCACCGAAGTTCCCAGTGCTACCGCCCGCATGCGTCCCCCCCCCCCCCCCCCCCTCCCCCCCACCAAGCACAGCGTTTCGCGGTCCCATAGGGAGCTCCACCGACGGCCCCAATGCTACCGCCCGCATGCGTCCCCCCACCCAATACAGCGCTTCGCGGCCCCATAGGGAGCTCCACCGAAGGTCGCAGCGCTACCGCCCGAATGCGCCCCCCCTGCCCAATACAGCGTTTCGTGGCCCCACCGAAGGTCCCAGCGCTATCGCCTGTACGCGTCCCCCCACCCAGTACAGCGCTATGTGGCCCCATAGGGGAGCTCCAGCCCGCATGCGCCCCCCCTGCCCAGTACAGCGTTTCGTGGCCTCACCGAAGGTCCCAGCGCGACCGCCCGCATGCGTCCCCCCACCCAGCACAGCGCTTCGTGGCCCCATAGGGAGCTCCACCGACGGCCCCAATGCTGCCGCCCGCAAACGTCCTTCCACCCAGCCCAGCGCTTCGTGGTCCCATAGGGAGCTCCACAGACGGCCGCAGTGCTACCGCCCGCATGCGCCCCCCCACCCAGCACAACGCTTCGTGGCCCCATGGGGAGCTCCACCGAAGGTCCGATCGCTACAGCTCGCATGCGCCCCCGCTTCCCAATACAGCGTCTCGTGGCCCCATAGGGAGCTCCACCTACGGCGCCGATGACACCGTCCGCGTGCGTTTCCCCCCACCCAGTACTGCGCTTCGTGGCCCCATATGGAGCCCCACCAGCACCTTCCGCATGCCACCCAATTTCGTTGCCCCATAGGGAGCTCCATCGAAGGCCCCAGTGGCACCGTCCGCATGCGTTTCCCCCACCCAATATAACGGTGTGTGGCCCTATCGGGACCTCCACCGAAGGCCCCAGTGGCACCGTCCGCATGCGTTCACCACACCCAGTACTGCGCTTCGTGGCCACTCAGTACAGCGCTTCGTGGCCCCATAGGGCGCTCCACCGAAGGCCTCAATGGTGCCGTCCACATGCACCTCCTCCACCCAGTGCAGCGCTTCGTGGCCCCATTGGGAGCTCCACCGAAAGCCCCAGTGGCACCGCCCGCATGCTTCTCCCCACCCAGTACAGCGCTTCGTGGCCCCATAGTGAGCTCCACCGAAGGCCTCAATGGTGCCGTCCACATGCGCCTCCTCCACCCAGTGCAGCGCTTCGTGGCCCCATAGTGAGCTCCACCGAAGGCCCCAGTGGCAAAGTCCACCGCGTTTCCCCACCCAGTACAGCGCTTCGTGGCCCGTGAGGAGCTCCACCGAAGACGATACCCACAACTGCGGTCATCACAACTGCATGTGGTTGGGTCTTTCGCCAGGCTGATTCGACGCCGGGATTTTTCTCAGCGTCGGCCCCCGAAGGCCTCGACCCACTCACCAGAGTTGGCGAGGGCCCCCAGATGACGAACGAACAACACACACCCATCATTACTCCAAGGGAGGCCGGAAGGAGGAGGACTGGCCGTGTACGTCTGGGTGCGGGTTGTCGGACCCCTGGGGAAGCTTCCGCTCGAGCGGGGACCCACACTCGACGACACGCACCTGTAACCCCGCCTGTCCCCCCAGTGTCGGGTCGGGCGAAAGGGGGGGATAGCAAAAGGGGGGGGTGAGAATCAGCTCACGTAGCTAATTTTCCCGGCGCTTCCCGGCGCCAGGAGGCGCCCATGTACCGAGGAATAGGCCCGGCGACGGGGCCGAAACCAGCTGCACGCGGCAGACTTCGTAACCCCCCCTTTCCCTATCCCCCCCTTTCGTTCGGCCCGACAGTGGGTATGGGTGTGTGTGTGTGTGTGTGTGTGTGTGTGTGTGTGTGTGTGTGTGTGTGTGTGTGTTGTTCGTGCGTCGCCAGGGGCCGAAGACAGCGCAAGCGCCGCCCGTCGTGACCTTTGCCTCGCAACACGAAGGGGGGTCAGGGGCCGCCGGGGGATGGGGGCTGCCGGCGGATGCCAGCCCGGCTGGCTGCCCGCGCAGGGGGGGCGAAGCGCGGCTCCCGTCGTCGTCGTCGTCGTCGTCGTCGTCGTCGTCGTCGTGGTCGTCGTCGTCGTCGTCGTCGTCGTCGTCGTCGTCGTCGTCGTCGTCGTGGTCGTGGTCCGTCTCGTGGGACCGCGGCGGCAGGCCGCCGCCAGGGGGCTCCCAGTCGCCCCGCTGCTGGGCCTGGAACACCAGGCCCGTGGGGAGCGCGGGCGCGGCCTGGGAGCGCGGCGGTCGCGCGCGGCGAGGCGTTGCCGTCCGCGTGTCACGGCGGCGGCGGCGGCCGCCGCGACGACCACGGCGACGACGACGACCATTGACGTCCGCCGATCCCGGACGCGCTCGCGTCGCAAAAGCACGGCGGCCAATTGTTGGCCGTTTTCGGCCCCATGGGTCCATGGGGGCCTTCGCGGGGCCCCCTGATCGTGAGACAACAGCTCGGGACGAAAAACCGGTCCCGGGGAATGGGTCGAGACCTCCGGGGGTGAACGTATCGAAAACATGCAGACGTCACATGTGTGGGATCTTGCCATCGCTCGGACGCCCATTCCCCGTGCACTTCTCGGCTTCGTGCGGTGTGATGTTTCGCGAGATGTTTCGGGGGATGCCTCCCGAGGGTGCTCGCCGAGGAACAGTGCACACGCCCGAGGGATGCCAAGGGATCTAATCTGTGCAATCCATGGCCCCAAGAACCCCGACCGCTCCCCCCCCGGGAGCGCATGGCCCCAAGAATCCCGACCGCATCCCCGGGGGGCAGTTCCCAGTCCCAGCCCGCTTTCCCAGGCCCCGCGGCCCGAAGACGCCCCGCGGGGGCCGTCGAAGAGAAAACGCCCCTGCGGCGTATGTGAGACGCTGTCGTCGTCGTAGTCGTCGTAGTCGTCCTCGTCGTCATCGCCAGCCCCCTGAGAAAAAGAAGCGCACCGAGGAAAAACATGTCGTCAGAGGTCTGGGACCACGACGACGACGAGGACGACGATGACAACGACGGACACGATGACGACAACGATCACGACGGCGGCGGCGACGGCCTGGGAGCCGCGTGCGCGCGGCGGCGGCCACGGCGGCGACGGCCACCACGAAAACCTCGGTGACGACGACGACGACGACCACGACGACGACGACGACGACGACGACGACGACGACGACGACGACGACGACGACGACGACGGCGGCGGCGACCATACGGCGACGACGGCGACAACTACGGCGACAACGACGGCCGCGGCGGCGACGAAGACGGCGGCGGCGGCGCCGCCGCGCGCACGCAGCCGCCAGGTCGGGGAGAGCGGCCCCCAGCCCCCGACGGGGCCCCTCTGACGGGCTGCCGGCGTCGTCCGTCGTCGTTGTCCTAGTCGCGGTCGTCGTCGTCGCCGCCGACGTAGTCGCCATCGTTGCCTGTCATCGTCGTCGTCATCATCTTCGCCGTCGTCGTCGCCCGTCGCCCGTCGTCGTACGTCGTCGTGGTCGTGGTCGTGGTCACCGCCTACTTCGAGCTGTTGAGATTGCGGCGCCAGGCGGCGTCAGTCTTGCAACCATCAGCGTCTGGAAGATCGCTGACGGCTCTTCTTCTTTCGCATGGCGAGCCATGTTGGTATGCGTCGGTCGCTCCGATGGTCAGATGGTCGAAGGAAATATGGATTGCTCACCATCGGACCTACCCCCACTGTCTCTCGCTCCCCGAACTCAGGGAGGCGTGGGACGTTGGTTTCTCGGGAGACTCCCCTTTGTGGCGGTCGGTTTCGGGGCCGATCACGGCGTTGAGAAAATCATGTGAACGGATTTCCTGGTCCATGCCTTCCTTCGCTGTTTTTAGAACTGACAAGGGTGAGGAGTTGAAATTGACGGAATTCTCGCCTACTTTGATTAAGAATTTGCTTCGCAAAGCTGTTGTGAGAGGTCTCGAGTGGGACATGGGGGCTCGTCTGAACATGTCTGGGCGTGTTTGCACTGATGGGGTCCTTAGTTATCTCCAGAGCACGAAGTATTCTGCCTTTGAAAAAGGCTGTCTGAGGGCGCTTTTTTGCAACGCGGTGTACACTCGTACGCGTGCGGCCGACCTAGGCTACCAGCTGCAGAGCGTGTTGTGCCCGCTGTGTGGCGAGGCGCCTGATACGCTCCGCCATAGATTGTGGGAATGCCAGTGTCCTGATGTAGTCGAACTAAGGAACTCGATTGTGCCTATAAAGATCCAGAAGTGGGCGAGCCAGGTGGACGACAACTTGGCTGTCTTCGGGGTGTTTCCTCACCCGGGTGATGTTTTTCCTGCTCCGTTGGATACAGGTGGTATTCAGGTGGAGTGGGCCCAAGGAGAAATTGGGGACCTTCATAGTGTGTTCACTGGTGACATGTTCGTGGATGGATCGTGTTCGCGTTACATTGTGAAAGAATTGAACCGAGCTGGCTGGGCCTTCACTTTGGTGGACAGGGAGACTGGGCTTGAATTAGTGAGAGTCAGAGGACCAGTTTGGGGGCCATGCCCCCAGACTCCACAAGCAGCCGAGTTTTTTGCCATGTCTATCGCCATTCAGTGGAGCACAGGCCAGTGTGACATTTTTTCGGACTGTTTAAATGTTGTGAATTTTTTCAGGATGCCCTGGATGGAACAGATATCAGCCAGGTATATGTTTGCTGGCGTGGCTCAGTTTGCTCGTCCGCACATGCACAAAGTCACGGTATCCAAAGTGAAAGCCCATCTTGCTGTCGATGAAGCGGTCGATGAAAGGGATCGCTATTTAAGACAAGGCAATGCGTGGGCTGATACCTCGGCCAAGGTTGCGGCATCTTTGCATCCTGCCTCGTCGGACGAGCTTCGTGAGGGTCTTGATCGTTCCGTGGCCGTGGCCCGAGCTGTTGGACGTTTGGGTGCTAGATTAATGTCTTTGTGGCCTAGATTAGACATGGGCAAAGATATAGAGCGAATCAAGCCACCTGCTAAAGAGCAGGCTCCTGCGAAACCTTCTCATGAATGGCATTGGGTAGGCTCGTATTGGCAATGTGCTACGTGCTTGCGTGGTCGTCGTGGCAAGTTTGGCGTCGAACCTCCTGGTGGGTCATGCTCGCTCGCTTTGCACGTGCACCCGTCAGTTCTTCGTGATCTAGGGCATAGATGTGTGCTCATAGACTGTACGGATGGTAGTTTCGTTTGCATTTGCCACAAATGTGGTTATTACACGTCGGGGGGTCGGCTTGATCGCCTAGGTAAGAAGTGTGAGCCTTCGAAACGGGCCTCGCATTGTAATCCTTGGAGTCGTCTCCAAAAGGGCCTCCACCCGTCATACAATAAACCAGGAGTGCGGGTGGATGTCAATACGTTTTGTCAACTTTAATTGTGCCTTTGCTCAGGGTGTGTGATGCGGATCACTTTCCTGCCACTGCTGTTGCACGGCCCTTGCTCGCTGCTGCGCGGCCACGGGGTGAAGGCTCCTTGTGGTGACGGCGGCACAGCGGGCAGTCTTAGGCACTTTGTTGCGATGACGCTTGCGGCGGCGTCCTCGTTTATCCTCATCCCCACATTGCGCTGGACGCTTGTTGAAAAACTTGGTCAGGAACATTCGCCAGCACGGCTGGCAAGGCTAGTCGGCCACGGGCTGACTGTAACACGTTAAATCTTCCCTGCCAATTAGTTTGCTGCAAGCAGCTGCCGCGGCTCGCTTGTTACCTGTACCTTATTTTTCTTTGACTGACCCTGTACAGTGGGTCCGTGTCTTTCCTGGAGTGCGGGGTGGATCGATCGGTCCTCCTGTCTGCTGCTCCTGGATCCGTTTGCTGCTGCTCTGTAGAGTGTGGCGCCGTCGCCTACTCTGCTCTGTAGTTGCTTTCAGGGTCTCTGCATCACGACCCCTTCGGAGGGCTCCCGTGTTGCACCCTGCCCGTGTGGCGGCTGCAGGTTGTATAGCTCTTCCTCGCCGCCCCAGTCTGCTGTCCTTGTATAGTGGACAGCCCGAGCCGTGATGCTGCGCAGTGCTGTGCCTTCACCGCTGCGCGCCTGCCTCTTTTTCTCGCTGGCACTCGCCACGCCAGCGGAGTCATGTGGCTGATCATGGGTCGACCCCAAAAAAAAACCGTCCCTCGACCTCCCGATTCCGCCTCCTCGTGGCCCCCTATCCGCTCCTGCCCTGTTCCTCTCCCTCCTCCTCCTGCTCCGTCCGTCCCCCTGACAGTTGCTGAACATAAGCTCGTCCAAGAACCTCCAGAACCGCCAAGGATACCCGTCCCCGCAATCCTGCCGAGGCCGCATCCATGGGCCCCCATCGCTTCATTTCCTCCCCGCCTGCTTCGTCCTTCTCGCCCACTCCCTCCTCGGCCTCTTTCTCTTCCTCTGGGCCCCGTCCCCCTCCTGCGCTCCTCCTCTTCCTCCTCCTCCACCTCCTCCTCCACCACCTCCTCCTCCTCCACCACCTCCTCCTCTTCCTCCTCCTCCTCCTCTTCCTCCTCGGGCCTCAGGCTACGTCTACATCCCTGTTCCTTCATCCAAACTCCTTAGAAATATCCCCCCGTTGTCGCACCCCAAACGTGTCCATGGGGCGGGCGCAGGCGAGACTTGTTCGCCGATTGTGTGTGATCCCGAAGCTTGGAATTGCAACCGTGCCACGAACGGAGGGCGGGTGGTTTTCAACATGTGGCTTTCGCGCCACCAATGCAAACGGTTTACCTTTCAGAACATATGATGATCGCCAGCGTGGACCCCACACAGTGCTTTTTGGCAGTACGCATGTTTCTTGTTTTTTATATGAAAAGAAAATTGGCGCAACCCACTTACTGCAACGTAAGCGGATCCATCTTTGTGGAAGATAATGTAGCCATTAAGTTTGTAATATGGAATGTGCAAAATACTGTATGATATAACCTATATTGTGCAATCGACGTGGCGCAAGTAAAGTATGTTTGCAATGAACTGTCAACTCCACTGTTCGCGCAATCGTCCCACCCACCCACCGGCAACTTGGTTTGCATAGACCCCTGCGGCGGCGATTGCGGTGAGTGTTTGGTGTTGGCTGGTGCATCTGTCCAGCCGCGCTAGCCCGCGCATGCTCACGCGCGCAGCGGCCACTTAGAGTGGCACGACCGGCGCGGCCGCGGTGGCGCGGTGGCGCTGACCGCTGGGCACTTCCCAGCGGACATTTCGGTGCGAGTCGGCGACTCGGGCGGGCGCGGTATCATGGCAACGTCCTCGACGTAGACGCGAGGATGATAGTAGCGATGCTGGTGGCGATGGAGAC